TAAAAGAAATACCTGGAGAGTTGATGAATATTTGGACTGAGACCTCCCCTGAAATTTCTGCCTTTAGAAAACAGATAAAAACCCTCAAGACCAAGGACCCAGTGCAGGCTCTCAGTTGAGAATGCCCACATTCCCCCCCCCCAATTCTTTCCTCAGGCATGTATCTTTGCTGTCTTTCTTCTAACTCTAAAGGTTCCCAGGAGACTTGCAACCAGGGATGGGCCACAGCAGCTCCCAGGCTAACTCCCTGAACTTTTTGCCTCTTTAATTTGTTTCCTGCATCCACACAGCCCAGCTAGCTCTCTTTTTCTCTTTCTGTAACTTTCTTTTTAAAGAGCCAAGGCCGCCTTGTCTAGGCTCAACTGTTTCTCACATTTCCAATAGGCGAAGGCAGCTCCGTCTAGGCTCACCCCTGTTTCTGTGATCTTGCCTCTTCTATCTTAGGTCCTTCCTTTATTTCACTTTTCCCAGCTTTAATAAACATACTCACAAAATCACCTGGACTTATGTTGTGAAATATTTCCAGCACAAAGTCAAGAACCTACACATTCCAGACCGTGCTGGGGAAGACTTGCCTCAGTCCTGGTCCCTTTCCAGGGAGAAAGATACTAAGAATGTGCAATGATTACATCAAATTGTGAGCTGTGACCTAGTGAAGCTTCATAAGGAAGCATTTGCACAACTAAAGTGTTGAGAAATGCCCTGTCTGGTTTCAGGAACTATAATCCCACCGACAGGCTAGAGGGTCCCAAGGCTGGAAATAATCAGGGAGGCCTCAGGAGACATAACCTGTCCTCAGGAGACATAACCTGTCCCCACTGGCAGGAACGTAGCTCCTGCCTCTGCTTTGCCCTGTGATGGTCAGTAATCCAAGACGGGTAAGTTATCTCATGACGAGATGACAACCTAAGACAGATACCAATCGGGTATGGGCAGCAGTCAAGAAATTGGGGGACACAGAGAAAGGGCAAAAGGCCCGCACCTCTCAGCTCCACTTGGACATGGCTGGAGTTCTCATTCTATCCGAAAGAAGTCTCCTTTTCTCTTGGCAGTTCCCTCCCCCGACTTGGCTCAGGCTCGAAACAATACTGGAGTCAGTCCTCAACCAGATCTGGCAGTTCCCACGGAAATCGGGCCTAAAAGTAAATTCCTTAAAGTATGCTTTGTTCTTCCCTCAGAAGCTATAGCCAGCTCATGCTGGGAAGGAAATTTAGGTTTATCACACACCCTAACCCTGTATCCTTAGGCACTCTTATGTGTACTATGCTCTCATGTTTAGTCATCTCTCTTGCTTACTAGTCTCCTTTTGGACCCATGTAAATAGGTGTGTTTCTGCCATTTGTTTTCTTCAAAACATTACCCATTCTCTGTGAACACTAACATACTGATGTAATGAGATAACTTGGGCATTCCCGTTACCTAGCCCCGCTGACAACCTTTTCAATAAAAGCCTTTGGAAAAAGGAGCTAGGGGGGCTTCTCGACTAAGAGGGAAGTGCCCCTGACCCCTCTTCCTGGCAAACAGAGAAGTGTTTGTGACGACTCGTGTGTATTCCCCCATCTGTGACAACCCTGGGACGGGCTCTGTGGGATTCGGAGCCCCACTCCCATCTCAAACGGCCCTGGACGGTAACCCTCAGATCCCCAAGTGCTGCGCTCCCCGTGACACGCTCCGTCCCCTCATGCTTCACTAAAGTATTTTTATAAAATTTTTCCGTACATTTTTAAAAAAGGGGTTTTGATTAGAGATATGTTTATCTTCTCTTAAACCTATACTAAAATGATAGTAAAGAAATTTTTCAAAAATAATAACTTTAGTAAGTGATTTATCAGGACTGAAAACAGAAACTTAGCGATTTTAGCAGGACTGGTGGAAGACATAACTAAGGTGTACATATATAAAAATTATGGACAAAATATGCCCTGTAAAACCCCAAAGAGGGCCAAAATTTTAAATACAGGAAAAGGTTAGCATATGATCTGTCAGGGTTAAAAATGTGGAAATTGACTGGAAGTCTGCATAAGGCAAGAGCAGATTCCCAGTCTTCTACCTTTATTCTAAGGAAAAATATCAGAGGTTTCTTCTCTGGAGAAACTCCAGTAACCTAAGAAAGAAAAATCCTCCACTTTGTGTGGACACTAAGGATCCACCAATATCCATCCATCACTGTAAAATAAAACGAGCTGGATTATAAGCTGCCTCCTGTACACAGGAACTTTTTAGTTCCCCACTCTTAAATATTAATAAGCAACAAAGAATTATTATATATTTGAAGAAAGATTCTACAAGAAAGAGAAAAAATAAATATAATGAAAAAAATAACCATTTAGAAAGAGAGATAATGCAAGGAACATCAGAAATCTTAACAAAACATAAACAAAAACATTCTACTTAATGTAGTTACTGACAAAACAAGAATTGAATGATATGAATAAGGATAGTGTACAATAAAGAGTTCTTGGATATTGAGAATACCACTGCCAAAAATAAGTAATTCAACAAAAATAGCTGGAATATGAAGTTGAATAAATATACTAGAAAACATAATCAAACCTAAAGAAACTGAAAATATGAAAGAAAAAAATAAAAGACTGAAAAACAATTTAAAAGTTCTAGCTTGTGATTATGAAGAATACCAGACACATTAAAAAAAAAAAACATGGTAAAACAACAAATCACAGAAATGACATAATTTCACAGTACATGATTCTTCAAAGAGTCCAATAATTTATCCATACATTAATTGGAAAACAAACAAGTACTATGAAACTCAAAACCCAGCATGTCTCTGAGGACCTCAGAGTGTCAGGAAAATGATTAAAATGTCAGAAATAAAAGATTTTAAAAATTTCCCAAAGAAATTAAAAACAGGCAAAATACAATGTAAAATAAATCAGAATGTAGTAAACTTTTCTCAGTAGCTAAACTGGATCCTAGAAAAGCAATACATTCAGATTTAAGGGAAAACTCAGTTCTATCCCAGCCAAACTATTAATATCAATGAAATGAGTGTAGATAAAAGAGATTTTCCGTAATGCAGTAAGAAAAAAAATTTATCATCCATTTGACCTCTCTTAGGAAGTAAATTAAGGACATACTCTAGAAAAATTAGGGAGTAAGCCTAAGCAAAAAGAAGATACATTATCCAGAAAATACGGGGATCCAATCCCAGAGTATAACAAAAGAAAGTCAGTGCAGGACAGCTCTAAAGAACCTTCAGACAGTAACCTGTTCAGATGTTCCAAGGTTGAGTGAGGTGAAGAGAGGGACAGGAATACTGTTTCTCTCATTAAGAAAATTTTCAAACCATGCATATGTACCACAGTCAACTTTTTAAAATTTAGCAATATTAAAAGGGAAAAATTAAGAGGCAGTTATATGAAATCTTGGATTTCATTCAGCTTTTAACATCTATTAAGATTCTGGGAAATTGTAAAGTTGCCTTAAAAAGATTTCATAATTTTCTTCTCAAAATTTTGCTGTCACTGCATAAACAAAAAGTCCATTTTTTCAGTGCGTACTATGAAAAATTTCAGAGGTTAAAATGACAAAAAGTTATTAAGAGATTCAGTTTTTCAGAAAGTGTGTGGAAAAACAGTTTTCCATTCTTACGGTACTTCTACGCCTATTCTCTCCTGAATTATGCTACTTCTCTCATTACCAGGTGTGGTCCGGTCTTATTAGCTGATATTTAATCATTCTTTATGTCTCAGGACAATAAGCCCAGGCAGAAAAGAGGGTATGTAGCATAGCTAGCCCAATGATTGGCTCAAAGAAGATACTGAACATATTTTAGCTATTTCCCACCCTTTCTATCTCTTTTTCACTTTAACTCTCAAGCTCCTGATCAGAAAATATTCTCCTCACAGGTATGGAGGAAAACAATATAAACCCATCTATCTTCTATTACAGTTAAACAATGTAAATTCTATGTCTATATACTTCAAACATGAAATCCTTTCTGCCTTGACAGGAGTCCAAGAATCACATAACCAAAAAGGATCGTCCACTTGCTTCCAGTCTTAGCATAGAAAAGTGAAATATGTAAGAAAGGAGAAGAGTAGTCCAGAAAATCCATAACCAAGTAACATAAAACAATTTACATGAGCTTAACAGAATATTTACATGAATCATCATTACTGATACAGGATTTCGCTTCTGAGCATATATCATGAGTTTGATTTTAATCACCACCATAAATTCTAAAATTTGGTCTCTACTCATAATTAGCTAGAACATACAACCCCGAGGAAGATGAGAAAGTAAGTTGAACAGAAAAGACACAATGTCCTTTCTCACCAATAATTTAAGTTAATTTCACTAGTCTACAAAGATAAACATAGATTTAAAACTAAAAAAAAAAAAAAAAATCCAGGTTTTCAAATTAGAATTTTACTGTTTAGTTTTCTGCTATGCATCTGACCTTGTCTGTGTTATACGTTCAAACAAAAAGAGCACTATTGAATCAGAAGCCACATTCAACCACCAACTCACCCTGTGTCTTTTGATAAGTCACATCACTGCCATGAGGCTAGATTTTCTCAAATGAAAAGATAAGACTGAGAAAGATTAAACCTAAAGGTTCTAAACAAACCCTTCAAGTTTAGGTGAGTAAAAACTGCTGTTTCTTATTTCCCACTTAGCTGAAATTAAAGTAGCAGTCACTGAAAACTGAATGCCTACTGTTTCAGGTATTAGATCTCTCAATTTACAAGTACAATAAACTTACAATGTAGGTTCCATAAAAATGAGGAAACATATGCAGAGAGATTGGCTTACCCAACATTACACAGCTCATAAATGTTGAGGACTATACTGAACCCATGATACAAAATCCCATGTTTTTTTCTCCCATAAAAATTTCTATTATGTATTATTTATGAGTATTATTTTTACAGAACTCTAAATAGACATTAAAACCCAATTAATTTTTTTTAAGTAATGTCAATCTATCTTGAAACTCAAAGTGTCAGAGCTGAAAATGTTCATTATGTACTCACCTGATGCAGCAGACGCTTCAGTTTGAGCAACTGAGTTTTTACAGCAGTACAATCCTGGACCATGTGTCGGAGGGTCATCTCATCCAGTATCACTGTATTTTCAGGTACATCTACAAACATCTTCTGAGCCTGGAAAAAGGGCGTCCCTCCATAGCTTTCAAAATGACCCAAAGGAGATTCTCTGTAGGGAGAGCCTCTGGAAGGGCAGGAGAAGAATTTGGAGGTAAAAGATATATAGCACGATTTCAGGAAGAAATAAAGGTAATAAAATTATTGCAATGATTATTACAATTCATTTATCATTATCACAAAGCCTCTGACTTTTACTCGCCTCAGACACCAAATTTGTTTCCACTGAGAAGTACAATCAGTTCTAGTTGTAATTAATATTCTGTATTAATTTTTTCTGTACTCCCTTTTGTGTATTTTACACATTGGTTAAATAAACCTTATTCCTTAGGAACTTGAATACAAACAAAAAACTCTGGGGAAAGGCCTTCCAGAACCTTGTCTGGAAAAAATTATACTTATTTTATTTTTTCTGCACTATTTGTCTGCTTTCCATTTTTTGACTTTAGGTGGCTTCTTAAACAGCACATTGTTTTTAAGTTTCATAAATACTCTACCTATGTTAATACTCAGTTTTGACACACTGCTCGATTCCAAGTTCTTGAAAGTCCCCACAGACAGTTAAGACAGATGAACACACTTATTTCTTCTGTTTTCACGTTGTTGATAAATCATCTTTTCCAATAAAGAGTAAGATTTTATAAATCTTGTTTCCTAATCTTAAACTACATTTTTAAAAAATCTACTCTAAAATAATTTAAGCCTCCCTTAGTTTCATACAATACGAATTCTGAAAAATTTAAATTCTTTTTGTTTGGACATTTAACACTAAGGATAATGCGTTTCATGGACATGAAAAACACAATGTTTTAACCAAAAGTTATAACTACAGCAATTTAAAAGTACTGCATTCAGCCCTGGCTGGTGTGGCTCAGTGGACTGAGCACCAGCCTGCAAACCAAAGGGGCACAGGTTTGATTCCCAGTGCAGGGCACATGCCTGGGTTGCAACCCGTGTCCCCAGTAGGGGGTGTGTGAGAGGCAACCACACATTGATGTTTCTCACCCTCTCTTTCTCCCTCCCTCCCCCTCTACCTAAAAATAAATAAAATCTTTTAAAAATAAATAAAAGTACTGCATTCACATTACACATAATTTCAGTTGGTTTTTAAGACAAGAACATGCTGAAAAAAATATTCTCTCCAATATCATGGCTATGGTTTACCACTATTAAAGTTAAATCCATGATGCATTAAATCTGAAAAAATCATAATGCATTAATTTTCAACCATATTGAAAAAGCAGGAATATGATTTCTACTAAATTTTGTAGATTTAAACAAATATCCCCAAATTTCTAATTTCAAATACTCAAGATAATCTTTGTTTTCACCATATTATTCTTGTCTGAAACTAATTCTCTGAAACTACTCCATTTTTTACCTCCCTGATTTTTCCTTTAACCCCCACAAAAGATTTTTAAGATCTTTTAAATTGCTGATCCATAGGTAAGGCCCTAATTCATTCACATAATTCTGTTTTATTTTTATTGGTTCAAAATATAGCTGCATTATTCAATTTCAAATACCGATCTATTAATTAGTATGCATTAACCATCCATGACTGACAATCTATACACAAAGTGATGAAAAATATATAGTAATAAAGTTAACAAAATAGTAAGACAAAAATATATCTGTCAAATAAATAGAGATAATGAGTCATGTTTTCAGAGAAAAAAGGTTTTTTTCTTGGATAGGAAAGAACCTGGAATGAACTACAAAGTATGAGGTTTGAGTCTGACTGAAATGAAAGGCAAAGGCTTTTTAGAAAAAGAAAATGAAAAGTAATGACAAAGTCTAAGCATGATTTTTAGGGTCAAGGAAACCCTCAAATATGGCTTGTAAGGCCACAGAGAGCCTGAATCCAATTTATTCTTCAACTTTCTCCCTTAACACATTTGCCTCCCTCAGACTGACATCTTAATCCGTAGCAAATTACCTGAGATTGCCAAAGCATGCTACAATATCCCTCATCTTCAAAACCATGTCCCCAACCTCTCTGGACTTTCGGCCAATCTATCCATCCTGTCCTCCACCGCACATGATCTGGAGAACGGTAACTCCTCTTCATCTTAAATTAGTTGGCATTTCCTCAAAGAAAGCTTCCTTAATCCTTTAAAACAGGGCCTGGTACTTCCACAAGTGTCCTTATACAACCCTTTACTACATATTGTTAGAGTATATTGTGTTTGTTTGTCACCATGCCAAATTAGAAACTCCATGAAGACAAACTAGGCATTTTTCTCTCTAACAAAGATAGTCGGGTTTTTTTGTTTAGTTCTGTTGTGGTTGTTTTCACTGAATGAGTAAGGAGCATGGATTTTAACCACCAGGTTTTGGGGTTGTTTTTTTTTTAAGTTTCCATCTCTGAGATTCTAAAATTCTTTAGTTATGACATTAAAAACAATACTTTAAATCTGGAAGCAGTCACACTAAAAATTCCCAGTTAACAATTGAGTTAAAGTTTACTTTTTTGTTTACTAAGTAAGTAAAAGAAAAATTGGAAAGGGAAGAGCCTGGAGGAAATTAGTCTGCTGTCTATAGCATTAGAATCAGGAATGGACGAAGGGCTTATATTAGGTTGACATAAACATGAACTACATTCAAGGAACTAATGAATTAAAAACATTTCAAAGGAAGAGTCAAGAAGTCTTGATCATTAACTAAATGTAAGGGCAAAGAACTGGCATCTAGAAAAACCACAGCAATGTTAAAGAAATAGGTCTGGTTTAGGATTTAGGTTTAATTCCTGGCTTACAGTAACTAGCTATTGAAAATACTATTATTTTGGGGCCATAGTTTCTTTAACTCTCAGTGTTCTCCACTACCTACCAAATAAGGTTCATATACCTTAGGCTGCATTTTAAATACTTCCACCACAAGATATAAACTAAACTTATATTTTCTCCTAGTACTGAAAAGGTCTTCCTCCAAAAGTTCTTCCTGATAAACCTGTATACATACCACCTCTAATTAGATTGCAAGCCTTTGAAAACAGGGTTATATCTTACTCATTTTTATATTATCTACACAGATTATCTGAGTTCAAATACTAGTACTGTCATTTACTACCTATATAACACACAGGGCAAGTTACTTTATCTGTGCTTCATTTTTCTGATCTATAAAATAAGGATAATTAAGAATACCTCATTAGATTAGTTTATGGATTAAATGGGGTAATATATGTTCAAGTGCTTGGAACAATGGCTAATACATAGTAAATGTTAAATAAAATCAAATTTCTATTGTATTATTATTATCAATAATTTCTATTTTTTTATGTTGAAAATTTTCTCTAACATTAATGTCAAGAGATAATATAATGCCATACACCCTTAAGATACATTCCCCAATTGGTAAATGTTGACACAATTTCCTTCATACATGAATATCTAAATCATTGCTAAACCATCTGACAATAAGTTGTATGTAACATAACACCTCTTTGGAGGACCATTTGAAGTCTGCTGGAAAAACATGAGTATAACTGAGAAAGCCAAGAGGCAGAAGACAAAAATGGAAGAGAAAGGAAATATATAGTAGAGGCTATTTTCAGAAAATGAAATGGCACTATTAAAACAGGAGGGGGGAAAATAGGACAGAGGGAATTTGAAATTTCACATTCTGAGAAGATAATGAAGTTCTCAAAAGAGAACCTGAACCTTTCAATTGGAATCGGAGGTAAAACTACTTTCTAAGACTGCAAGCAAAAATACAAATCCAGAGATGAAGAGAAAGAAGGTGAAAAAAATAAACATGAGACAAAAGAGGAATTACTAGACACCTCATATTAAGGTGACATGCACAAGTTTGTATTTTTATACAAGTTTTAACAATCATGGGTTTCCAGTAGAGAAATTAGATGGTGAAACCAACAGAACACTACAAGCTGTTTTGGGGAATATACTGGAAAGTCAGCAGTGCATTAGCAAAGGCCACAAATGTGCCCTTGTGGTCTATGTGGACAATTATAGGCCAGGCAGGATAGTAGATATGAGGAACTGAATCAATGTAAGAGTGAAGGCAAGTGAGTTCAGTGGTTATAGAAGCATAAGAAAGAAATGCCCACAATCACCAATATTATTTAACATTGTTCAATGAGTATAGCCAATAAGATCAACAAGAAAAAAAAAATCAGAGTAATAGAAAGGAATCTTTAAGATATCAGCCATTTTTTAACCCATTAAAATTGAATCCAATACAGTATCAGCACCTGGCATTCAACCCACACATCTAATAACCACATTGCTGCATAATTACTTATTATAGTTTTAAAGGAATCTCCTAAAATTATGTTGCTGTATCTACATACTTCTTTTCCACTTCTTTATTACCAATATGTCTGATTTTGTGCTGAGGGTTCATGATTCATAGGTTAGAAAGGCAAATGCAGGGGCGGGGGGATTGGGGGGGTGGGGGGGGGGTGTGTGTGTGTGTGTGTGTGTGTGTGTGTGTGTGTGTGTGTGTGTGTGTGTGTGTGTGATTTTTCAAAAAAGGAAGATATTTTTCTTCATTTATTTGTGTGTGTGTGATTTTTCAAAAAAGGAAGATATTTTTCTTCATTTATTTCCTAAGTCAAAAGTTGACTTTACAAAACCTTTAGTGTTCCTTTTCTCACTAAAAATAAAAATTGTATATTTAAAGTTAACTGTGTATTTATATGTTCCTGTCTATATTTCTTAAAGGCTTAATTCAACATAACGTCAATCAAAATCCCAGCAAGTTATTTTATGGATATCAACAAAGTGACTTCAAAGTTTATATAAATAGGAAAAAGACCAGAATAATCAAAACAATATCGAAGAATAAAGTCAGAATACTGACTCTATCTGACTTTTAGACTTACTATACAAAATGACAGTAATCAAGACATTGTAGTACTGACTAAAGAATAGACATATCAATAAACTAGAATAGAGTCCAGAAATACACCCACACACATAGAGCCAACTGATCCTTGACAAAGAGCAAAGACAATTCAAAGGAGGGAGGATCATTTTTTCAACAAATGATACTAGAACAACTGGATATTCACATGTGAAAAAAAAATGACCTTATACACTT